CAAGCAGAACTGTGCTGAGCCAAGTGTAAAATGAAACAACTGCAAGCAGGTTGAGAGCACAGACTGCTGACAGGCCTGAGCTGTGGCATCAGGACTATTTTACAGCTGATGCTACTGGTAATTAGACCATACTGACAAAACAGGAAAGAGAAGGTAAGCTTAGTGAATGGTCTTGTTGCCTCAGAATGGCTGTTCCTGTCTAAAAAATCCATTTTGTCTTGGAAACAGATGGCTTCATCTTCAGTCACCTTAGCTTTCCTGCTCTCAGTTCAGGAGACCAGATTTTAGTCCAGTCGCTCAAAAGATTTCTGCTTAGAATTGTTGAGTTCTATTGCGAGGAGGGCTGCTTTACTTTACAAATGAGCTGCCTGCCTCCCACAAACTTTTCAGCTAGTCTGTATACGTGGAGTAAGATCAATTTTGGACTTCTGGCACATTCTAGCCGTCTCCCTTGAGAGTAAGCATGAATTGATACTTTCATTTGCTTGCTACAGTATGGTGTCTGTGTGCATGAGTGTGCAAAATATGCACACCGCTGCACAGTACTGAAAGAACTACTATTGAAAACATAGTTTTGAGGTGTTAACCCACAGTGGTGATTTAGAGGGTTCATCTGGTATGCTTCTTGTAAATGGCTTCAGAATGGCTCCCGTCCATAAAGGGACCTCCGGATAAAATGGCTTCTACTACCACCTCCTCTTTCACACTTATATTGATATATAGAGCACAACACTGATCATGGGGATTGCTCTCCCAACATAGGATAACTTCTGTTCTCCAGGTTCTTGTTTAGTATATGAACTGAAATACTGTAATAGACGTGTATGGTATGCTTAGGAAGTTCTGAAAATCTTCACTGCTACATTAATGGCGAGATTGGTAGCTCAGTGAAAGTGCACATACGTGGCATGTGCACCACCCTAGACTCAGTCCTTGGTGTCTCCAGGGATTGCTAGCAGAGTTACATCTGAAACCCTTGGATTGCTAGGGGCTGACATACCTGTTTTGGACATAATGCTGATAGTGTAGCATTGTAGGAATGAACCACAGTGAATCCATGCTCCTACGTACTTCCTCCAGTATGGGATTGAGATCAGAGGATTCTGTTTTAGATTCACTGCTGCTTAGTGTGTTATCTGAACTGTACATTGTGTGTAACAAGTATGGTTAGTGGAAGCAAAACAGCATAGTAAATCACAATTCAAAATTGGCTTGCTTATGCCTCACTGCAGTTTAGTTTATCAGCAGCTCATTGAGGTTCAGGCAACATGGCAAACTGCAAGCAAGAACGTTTAACTCTTCGCACTGACACAAAGTGAGGATGCGTATCTTCCCTATCTTTGTTCTTGTGGCTCATTCTCATAATGCCAAACCATGAGTTAAATGTTATATCTGAAGCAGCCCGTTACAGACAGTGGGCTAGATTGGTGATTCCCAACCTTGGTTCCCCAGAGCAGATGTTCTTGAACTCCAGTTCCCAGAAGCATTCACCATTGGCTGTGCTGACCAGGGTTTCTGGGAATTGTAGTCCAAGAACCTCTCCCAGTGTTGGGAGCCACTGGGCTAAATAGACCAACAGTCTGACTCTGGGTATAGCTTTTATGTGTGTGGATTTTAACATGGATTGGAAGCAGCTGCATACTTCCTGTGTTAACGCTTCTCATGCTTACCTTTATTTGTTAAAATCATTTAGTTATTTTGCTTCGAGGGTTTCTGTCAAAGTCTGTTTATGGCAGGAGTATGCACAGTGACCATTTATGTTATGGATGCAGATATATGGTTAGTACTTCCTAATGGAAAATATAATCCTTTCTGAAACAGGTGTACAATTTACTGATACCTTACAGATCTATAATTCTACATCCTAAATCAGTCTTCTTGGCAAATATGCATTAGCAAAATCTTGATCTAATATTAGTGTTCATGCAAAGCTACATATTTATGCATATCTAGCTTTGTCTTGTCCCCCTGCAACTCTAAAAGCCTGTTACTACGCTTTCCCAGTGCCTCTTTAAACTGAACCTTGGTTTCTATATGCAACAATGTTACTGAATTTTCTTCTGCACAGTCGTTGTTGGTATGTTTAACATTATCTAATGTACAATCTGAACTAAAGTTCATGTATACAATGAAGCTTGGAGTTGTGTTATCAGTTGAGAATTCCCACATGTCCAAAGATGATTGCTTTAATCCTGCATGAACATGCCCTGTGATTCTTACAGCGCAGGCTGGAGAATGATGTGTAAACATGCTATGATCTTACAGAAAAGGAGGGACAGGGGCACATAATAGCCACCTATTGAAGAGTAATTGACTCAGTTGACAGTTTTTATTCCTGGAATTATTGCAACTCATATGTTGCCTCTAGTAGGTTTGGCTGGGAGGGAGTTTTCTGGGCTGGTATAACTGTCAATCAGTCCAGCAGTAACCAGTTTTTCCTTCCCTGCCTCTGATTTTTATAAGGACCACGCTTAAGAGTCAGTTCTTTTTCCTTTGTAGTTACTGTAGATAAACTTCTTGCAGATAGGGTGACTCCTCTCTCATTTCTCAGCATCAGAAACCAGGTGCATAACAACTTCAGGAAGGCCTTGTCCGTTGCAGCAGCATGTTTGTTGAAACCCCCCCCCCCGGGAGATTTGATCATCCCCATGTTTTGTTGTTATTAAAATAATAGCTTATGATTTTCTGTAGTTCATTTTGTTTTTGTTTTGTTGATTTGATATCTTCCATCGTTGTACTCTTTTTCTGAAGTCAGTGGTGATAGGACAATCTATATCATACAGCGGAAGGAAGGAGCTGGATTGACTACTTCAAAACCCCTTGGCTGTTCAGAGCAGCCAGAAACCTGAGCGTTAGATGTGCCCTGTCCAGTTTCTTTAGTTACAGATTTGACAAAGCGCCAGATGCAAACCTTTAAACGGTTAGCCGAAAACCTAATCTAAATGTTATAGCGAATTGTAAGGTGCACGATCTGTTAGCCGTACAGGCCGTCTCAGAGAACCATGACCATTTTTCTTTCTTTAGTATTCAGGACATTCTGGCTGAAAGGTGATTACAAAATGGCAGGCTGCAACTACTGAAGCAAGCTGAAGAGTTGAGATGCCATGCATAGCTGCTCCTTTAGCCATAGGGCTCTTTCTGCTTAGTCACTTTTGTTGACTGGGCTGCTTTGACTCACTTGGAAATGTACGGCAGGTTTTTTTCCCCCCTATAAAGCAAAGTCAACAAAGACGGTGCTGCTTGCTCAGAAAGCCTTTGAACGAAAGCCATCGCTCAAACGCTATTTATGAAAGCGTCCTTTTTAGCTTTGGATGGGGTTATGGAAGTCACTGTAACTACAGGTCTCAATACTTTGCCATCTGGGTAGCAAGTAAAAACTATTGGGAAAGAATGAGTCCATTTCCGTTTCATATCATAACCTTCTCACTAAAGCATAACAGAGAGACAAATTTTTGAGAGCAACAGGCATTCTGCTTAGCCTTAAACACCTTATGGTGTGTGGTGGGGGGTGGGTAGTTAAAGCATAAAATCAAGACTACTTCAACAGGTTCTGTAACATAAAAATCTAGCTTTGCTGTGGGAAACCCAAAAGAAAACTAAAGAATTAAGGCTGTTTAAAGACATGGGTGCTGTCTCCCTCTATGGGTTGCAGTTAATAATCAGGGTTAAAAAATAAATGTAAAAACTGCAGCATAAGGAATAAATTGCTTTATGCAGCTGAAACATGCCTCCAGTGTACTGACCTGAGAAAGACACAATGGTATCTTCCTATGTCTTTGTCCACATTGCATAGATGCTAAATTTTTCATTCTTGGAATAAAGCTGTGGCATCCATTTGGGTCAGTGCCTTAGCCTGCTTTTGTCCTTCTGTCTTTAAATAAACAAAGCTGGATTCTCCCATGCCGCGAAACCTTGATGTAAGCTTTCTATACATCCCAAATGTAAGGTTTTTTTTATGAAGGAAATATGGTTCCTTATTGCCTACGAATTTGTGGTACCTGCTAGTTGGATTATAACTTAAACGTGTCTCTGGATTTGAGGTGGTTGTTTCAGAGCAGACTTCTGTCTTTGAATTTTGTATGTATAGCTTCACACATCTTTTCCTTAAAGTTCACCACAGACAGTCTCTAGAGGGTAAAACATTAAGTAAGGCAGCAAACAGTCTCTAAAATAAACAGCCAGGACCAAATAAAATACAGTAGAGATTCAGAATAGTTATAACATGTAAAAGTACAGGATAGACTTTGTTGGTAGCATCAAGTTGAGACATTTTTAGATGCCTGGCAAACAAAGGGGAGTTTGACTGTTTTGGGTTCCTCTACAAAAGAGGCTTGTTCTCCAGTAGCAACCTGCCTTAACATGGGGAATATGGAGAAGAGCATGTGTATTTATATGGTGGCAGTTTGCCCTAATATTATTATAATCTCTACCCAGCTCTTGTGAAAGAACTTGTATCATTTTGTATTTTTAAATAAAGTATTTGTAGAATTTTAATGCTAACAGACCAGCTTAGTAGCCTAAAGGAAGTTCATACCAACCTGAGGTCGAGGGTTGATTTTATTAGGCTTGGTACATTGTCCCAATTCAACACTAATTGAAGGCTACGGAGTTTCACTTCCCTTTTGTTCATGGTGACTGGTTCCTAAGTTGCCTTGGAATTACTTGTGGGTCGCAGCATAATTGTTAAGTTAACCATCCTTTGGGGCAGAGAAGCTTTGAGACAAGCTGTTGCGTTGCTCACCGGGAAATAGGAGAGTCTAAAAAGGAATGAGCAACTTGGCCTTTATAAGATGACTGCCTGCTCTAAGTACTTGGTACGTCCTTGAATGTGGACTTACATTTGCTCGCTTGTGGGTAAACGTGGGACCTCAAGGAGATAGAACAAAGCAATTGAGTACTTAGCCATGAGAGTACTGTACTTGAATATGCTGTCGATGTTCTCTGTCATGAATGAAGCAGAAGACATATGTATAACAGGATTTTTTTCTTTTTTTAAACAGAGCTTAACAAAAACCCCGTAGAAGGCTTCTCAGCAGGCTTGATAGATGACAATGATCTCTACCGATGGGAAGTCCTCATTATTGGTCCTCCAGATACATTGTAGTAAGTAGCAGCCTAAGTAAAATTCCCATTTTTAAGAATCTAGTATTTTGATGACCAGTGTGTTTATTTATTTATTTTTTACATAGGTGGAATATAATGAATTCAACTGTGAAAAACTGGGCTGAATATTTCATTTTGTGGGGTGCTAGTTACCAGTATTACAGCTAATGTGTTCCAAATCTGATTCTAACTGTTATTGCTTGATGCTGCTTCCCATCTTATGTGAACAAGGTTTAACTTATCAGGCTGAATGTAGTATTATATACTTGATAAGCAACCCTAGCAGCTTCTTCCCATCCCTGGCTGGAAGCTGTTTGGTGTTGCGGCAGAATGCAGAGGATTAGATTTCCACCATGAATAGTTGGATGAAAGAAAGACCTGAATATGGACTTCACCTTTAGGATTTGGATGGAATGGCAAATCCAGGTTTGAGGCAGGGCAAGGTTTTGGAGTAGGGTGGTAACATGAATTTTGAGACCCACAGAAGAGATACCAGACTTTTCCCTCTCTTACTGAGGCTGCAGACTTAAGCATGCTTACTGAGATACAAGCTCTGTTGGACTGACTTCTGAAGTAAAGATATATTAGATTTCACTGTGAGCTGCAGTTCAAATCTAGAAAAACACCATAGTTTATGAAGCCTAAGGGATCTACAAACTGAACATTCTAATATGATTATGCACTCTACCCATGGATGTATGGAAGTGAGACCTGGACCATAAAGAAGGCTGACCGCCTAAGAATTGATGCTTTTAAATTGTGGTGCTGGAGGAGACTCTTGAGAGTCCCCTGGACTGCAAGAAGAACAAACCTATCTGTTCTGAAGGAAATGAACTCTGAGGGCTCACTGGAAGGACAGATCCTGAAGCTGAGGCTCCAATACTTTGGCCATCTCATGAGAAGAGAAGACTCCCCGGAAAAGACCCTGATGTTGGGAAAGAGTGACGGCAAGAGGAGAAGGGGACGACAGAGGACAAGATGGTTGGACAGGGTCATCGAAGCAACCAACATGAATTTGACCCAACTCCGGGAGGCAGTGGAAGACAGGAGGGCCTGGTGTGCTCTGGTCCATGGGGTCACAAAGAGTTGGACATGACTTAACAACTAAACAACAACAACACAAGCCCTGACAGGATAGCTGAGTAACATCCCTAAGGCCAGGGCCATTATCTGAAAACATGTCATCCAGCATCTCTTCTGAGGCAGAGGAAGTGTTGAACCTGGTTACATGTCTGGATGCAGTACTGCCAGTAAACTTGATTGATGCTTCCTTAAGCGTTATGGAAACAAAACAGGATATAAAAGTAATGAATAAGCCCCTGTCAATGAAGAGCAAGTAGTACAGCCACTGAATTGTATCCCCTGCCCCCTTCTCCTTGGTATCTCTGGGGTGCATATGTGCTCTGGGCTGTCCGGGCTAATGTTCTCCATAGCTGACTATGTACCACTTTAAATGTAGAATTTTTTTCACAAACATTCCCATGAGTTCCATGTTCATCATCTGTTAAAAAATTTTTTTAAAAAATCTCCTGCTTGTCAGGATAAATTTTGGATGGACGATGGTAACACCTGGCACAAAATCTGCCCGGCATCACAGACGGCTAGAATGAGATGCTGTTGCCGATCAGATTGAAGCATTTTTGAAGACACAGCTCTGCTAAAAAAGAAAATAGCCCAGAATAAGTCTCCTTTCTCTTGAACAGGTGCTGGACACAAATGGTGTTGCTACATGGAAGTTCATGGCTTGCTACTATCACTGCTTGACAAGTACATGTTCGGGCATTTGTCCTAGTGTTTATTCAATTAACACCTGCCACATACAGAATGCTGCTTTAGGCACATGGCCAGATAAGCTGGTTCTTTCATTTAACAGGAACGGAGCAGCCGCCAGGCAGGTCTGCAGCACTCGCTTTGCAACTACCATATTTTTCGCTCCATAAAACGCACCTTTCCATAAGACACACCAATTTTTTAGGAGAAGAAAACAGGAAAATATAATCTGTTTTCTTCGCTCCATAAGACGCACAGACTTTCCACCCCCCTGTTTTGTGGGAAAAAAGTGTGTCTTATGGTGCGAAAAATGTGGTAATTCTTGTCAGTCCTTTGCCTGTAGAAATCTGAACGTCTTTCTGACTCCATGTGCAAAGTTTTCGATGTGTCCTTTTCTACTGCTTTGGAAAGTGGTAGGAAAAAGCTTCAAGCATGAGATCCCAGGACTCTCTTTGATCTACAGGATGGGATTCAGTTTTAATTTGATGCATGAGTCCCTGTCTACTTGCTTTCTTTTTTCTCGCTTGTCTTTCCTGAGCTATTTCTGTGCTGCAGACACAGCAGTTTGACTAATAATTCCTTACCTGCACGTCATTTTGTGAGACTGTTTAGAAGGGATAGAATAGAGATCTCCTAGCATGAAATGTTTAGACCTGTACTGAACTTCAGTTCTGGTGGTGGGAATGAGAAGGCAGGAGGGTTGTGAGTGTAACTTTGTATGGATCCAGTATAGAGTTGCACTGCAAATACTGTACATTTTCTTTGCAATGATCTATTTGTGGCTCTCAGCACCATTAGTGGTTTAGAGTACTTCCTCCCTACTACAGCCAACTCAAAAAAAGAAATGCAGCCATCTCTAAAACCTGTATGGTAAACATGTAGCAAGAGATGTTATCCGTTGTACATGTAGATCAAAATGTTTGTTAGAAGTAAACTTCAACAGAGGTCAGTAAAACTTGCAGCCCCAGTCCTTGGGCAGTAAAAGTCTGGTTTTAAATTTAAAAGAATTATAGTACTTGCTTTTGAAATTGCAGGCTTCCTTTATATGGAAAAAATCATTGGAGAGTCAAAAAGCTGTTTGAATTATTGATTAATCCTAATAGACACATAAAGCTTGCTGGGGGGGGGCGCTGGAAAACATTAAGAAAAGATGGTTTCCCCACTTTTCCCCAGGTGTGGTTTTCCCACTGGAAAGCTGGAAATGTTTAGAAACCTTGAAAGAAATGTGGATGATTTGGCTGTGGAGCCAGAAGTTGGGAGTTTGATTCCCTACTGTGCCTCCTTGACAGGGGTGGACTAGATGATCCATAGGGTCCCATCCTGCTCTGCAGCTTAAAGTATTATTATTAAGATAAGGCTTTATCTGCTCAAAATCCTGGGAACTGAATAGTGTGAAGATTTCTACGTAAGAGAAACTGAGCAGTAATTCCTGTGCATATCCCACTGCTTAAATCCAGGATATACTTATGTGTGTAGTGTGGGTACTATCATATTCATGAATATAGCTTAATAGGGTTGCTTATGGATGGCAACTGGCCGCCTTGTGCTTATTTTGTTGGATAGTCCTTAGTGGCAGTGTTTCTCTCCAAATAAAACACCTTGCTTTGTTTACTACAACATTTGTGCTTAGGTTTAATACGCAAATATATATTGTATATATTTCAATTTTTCTAACATTTCTAATTTTTTTCCAGGGGAAGAAAATGGTGGGTGTTGGTCCCATGGTTCAGAATTTATGGAAATATTAAATCTCTGAGTCTTAGTCTTAGGGTAGATATTAAAGCTGAAATCCAATATTTATATTAACTGAAAAATCTACCTAACTTGGCCACTGACTCCTCTGAACACAGTTCCCACTAGCAGTCCTCTGAAGTATTACACTCAGATTTGTTGTTCATTTCACTTCTCTCTGACCCTTCTTTTTTTAAAAGGTGTTCAAGGCAACTAACATCACTACAGATACATTTATTTATCTATTATTTGTTTCCTTTTATCCCACCTTTCTTCCCATTCAGGGGCCAGAGACAAAAAGGGTAAGGGTGAGAAAATCATGATGTACTCAGTTACTTTTTTTAAAAATAAAAAAATGTAATTATCGATATATAATCATATTAAAAGGCAACTAGCTTAAAACAATTGAAAAAGCATTAAAAGCAGAACCACATATGTTAAAAGTAGTTTTAGAATAAGAAGAGTGTAGCATCCCACATCCAGCTCCTTCCTCTTCAACTTTATCCATCTGATTGTCTGGGGGAAGGACAGCAGGGAGAGAACTACCCTCATCTCACAGGAAAGGGGGCACAGACTGAAAAAAGTGAAAAACATGTTAACCAATAAATTCTTTAAAATCGTTGCTGGAAGGAAATTAAACTATAAAACCATTAAAAATCAAAGCAGTGGTCAGCCAAAACCACACTGGCTTTTTAAGGTCAATTATTAAAATATTTTTTTATTCTTCTTTCAGTGAAGGCGGTGTCTTCAAGGCTCACCTTACCTTCCCAAAGGACTACCCCCTCAGGCCGCCAAAAATGAAATTTATCACAGAAATATGGCATCCAAATGGTAAGTAACTTGATCGTCCGTCAAATCTCATGGCCTTTCTTATATCTGGAATGAACTGGAACTAGAGATGGGCGCGAAATGGCAGTTTGGTGTGGTGTGTTTCCTGGCTGACCAGCTGATCTGTGGTTCAGTGTCCTGCCCCCTTCCAGCAGGTGCCCACTTGGAGGCAGTGCCCAGAGGAGGCGGGGCAGGACAGTGCCAGGGTATGGTGCCAAACCTCAGATCAGCTGTTCGGCCAGGAAATGAACCATGCTGAACCCCCAGTTTATTCCAATCTCTAATTAGAACACATTTAAAAGCCCTAGTTTCAAATACTCTATCCTATTAATCCCCCTCAGTTCCTTTCTGCCTGCCATTGAGAAAGTATCCTTCTGGAATTTATCCTGAGTGGCCACCTTCTGCACAGCATTCCTCAGCAAATTATAGATGTTTCGCCTTCCCTGTAATTACATCCATTGTTCTCTTTCTTAAAAAAACTACCCAAACTATCATGATTTGTATGTATGTTTGTTTTGTGGGCCTTAGCTTGAAGTGATTTTGAACACCAGCATGAATCTACCTCTAAGGTGGAACCACTTGATCAGATTGTGTTACATAATAATTGTTAGGTTAAGTGTATTAAATACTTAATGCTATATTTCTGATGGATTTGGGGGCAAGGATAACCAATAGTAATTACATGTAGAATGGCCGTTGGCTCCATTAAGCCTAAAAGACTGAATATAAAGCTCCTTGTATTCGGACCTTCTGTTTCAGACAGTAGAGCCCATCTCTTAAGTACAGTGGTGCCTCGCATTATGACGTTAATTCATTCCAGCGAAATCGCTGTAGAATGAAAACGTCATAATGCAAAAATAAAAAGCCAATTGAAACGCATTGAAACCTCTTCAATGCGTTCCAATGGGCTGGAAACTCACCGTCCAGCGAAGATCCTCCATAGGGCGGCCATTTTCGGTGCCTGTGCAGCAAGGAATCCCTCCCAGAAAACAGCGGGGAGTCATTTTATTTACCCAGCAGCCATTTTGAAACCGTCTATCAGCTGTCTGAAAATCGTTGTTTTGCGAAGAATCGGTTCCCGAAGCAGGGAACCGATCATCGCAAAGCAAAACAAGCCCATTCAGATCATCATTTTGCAATCGTAAAGTGATCGCAAAAATGTCGTCGTAATGCCGTTTCATCGTAATGTGGGGCAATCGTAAATGCGGGGCGCGACTGTATTGTGGCAATTTCTTTTTAAATAAAGGGATATTGCATCTGCCCTGAGTTCTTGTAACTTCAATTTTATTTCATAGAATCATAGAATAATTGAGTTAGAAAGGGCCTATAAGGCCATTGAGTCCAAACCCTTGCTCAAAGCAGGAATCCAAATCAAAGTGGATAGGACAGATGGTTGTCCAATTTTCTTTTGAATGCCTCCAGTGTTAGAGTGCTCGTCACCTCCCAAGGTCATTGGTTCCATTGCTGTACTGCTCTAACAGTTAAGAGGTTCCCCCCCTGATATTCAGCCTAAATCTGGCATCCCTTAGCTTAAGTCCATTGTTATATGTCCTGCAGTCTGGGATGATTAAAAACAGATCCTACCCCTTCTCTGTATATGTTATTTCTAGCACTGATGCCTGAAATATTCACACTTACCTTACTATGGTCATAACATGATTCTTAATAATGTCACAATTGAGATCACAGCTCTCCAACATCCTCTCTTGTGACCTGCCTTTGCGCCATTTCTTAAAGGCAAAACCTTTGCTGCACATTGAGCCTCTAACCACCTTTTCTGTCTTTTGTAGTTGACAAAAATGGTGATGTCTGTATTTCCATCCTTCATGAGCCTGGTGAAGACAAGTATGGCTATGAGAAACCTGAAGAACGCTGGCTTCCCATCCATACTGTGGAAACCATAATGATTAGTGTAATTTCTATGCTGGCAGACCCCAACGGCGACTCTCCTGCTAACGTTGATGCAGCGGTATGGCTTGAAAATATCTCTCTAGAGTTGGATAAATAAGTATAGTATGTTGGTGCGCTCTACTGAATTAAGAGCATTTTGTCGGGTAGTCATGTTAATCAGTGAAGATTATTCCCCGTAACTAATTTCCTAATAATAAAGAAAACAGGAGTGGAAAAAGTATTGTGGGAATAGTATTAAAACAGCTAAATAGGAATTGCTCTATGCCTTTGCTGTCCAGTATCACTCAACTGACTTTAACATGTTGCCACATTATTTTCATAGAAGCAGACTGTAAGTATGGCTGCTGTACTGTGGTAGTGAAACTTCCTAAGATGCAGGCATACAGGTAGTAGATCTGTTTTTTTACTCAATATCAAGCATGTGCCTATGTTCCCACCTTCTCCCCTTCTGCTTGTGTAGCAGCTGAGAGATCAGTGGGTCAAGTATGGCACAAAGATCACTACTGTTAGAGTTCTTTCTCTTGGGAAAAACTGGGCATCTCTAAACCTCTGGATGATTATCTTTAAACCGCAGTGTAGAAACATGGAAGTACAACTCTTGGAGTCAGTTTTCCAGTGTTTAAGTGACAATTTGGGCCTGGAAATGTAATTAAGTGGTTGACAAATCTTCTGGCATTGGAAGATGCTGGTCTGAAGCATGAGGCTTTAGTGTTCTGTTTTCTCTAGGTTCTTTCTTGATGGCAGAGAAGAACTGGATATTTGTGTGTATCTGCTCAAAATGTAGATTAAAGATGCAAACTTGGGCACAGAAGATTGATTCTTCTAGCACAGAATGTCTACATAGCCTTGATATTGGACCTCAGAGTGTATAGCTTGCATCCTGTTCCTCCAGAAACATTTTGAAAATTTTGTAGAATTCTCCTGTGAAGCCATCCAGAAAGCTACACATTGAAAATGTCTTTAAGGGCTGGAATTAAATAAGGGGGGGGGGATCTCATTTAAATTGCCAGGATCGCTTACATGAAAAGAATAGGCAAGTAGTTTTACAGCCCTTCAGATTACGTACTGAGGAACTGCCAGAAAGAAAGAAAGAAAATAAAAAGAAAGAACTATGTATTGTATGGAGGAATCACTTGAAATCTGGGTTTCAATCTACAGAAAGAATGGAGGGAAGATAGAAATGGAGAATTTAAAAGGAAAGTTGCCCGCTGTGTAAGAAAAAGCCAAGAGACTGCTTTTGAGTGACACTTAATCAGCAGCTAGTAGCTTCACTTTTTTTCAGGGTAAGTAATTTTTTTTAAGTTGTACAAAATTTGATTTTGAATTGGAGGCACTGCAGAGTAAATGTTAGTGGTACATGGTGGACACTTAGGACACTGAGGTAAGGATGTGCATAATATCAGTGTCATATTTCCTGTGCATCTTGCATCTACATTTGTTGAACGGGTCTGATTCCCTTGTCCCCTTTTACTCCTGAGCCAGACTCTATTTATGGTACTGCAGCTAAATTCGATGGAAGCATAACAGCCACAGTCTAAAAAAATTGATACAGTACTAGTGTAGAAACTCTTGCCTATCCATAGTTTGTTTATTTTAGAAGTGGTCTAAATGACTAATTGAACAACCATGTGAACATTTGCAGAGTTTAAAATCCCCAAGTCTAAATGACTTAATACACTTGAACAACTGTGTGAACATTTGCAGAGTTTAAAATCCCCAAGGATACTGCAATCTCACATTTAGCATTGACTTTGAGAAAATAAAAAGAAAGGTTGTAGTACATTGAGAGTGCTCAAAGCCAGAGTTTTGCCTGAAAGAATGTTGATATAGGATTTGTCAGTCTCATGGATAAGGGGTATCACTGATAACTCCAAGTGGTAGTTGTAAATGGAGCAGAACTTTTTGTAAAGTGGTGGTGTCTGGAATGTCAGCTCTTCATCATATTTTTGCCTATTCTAGCATCAGTAACGCAGAGCACCACACACACACACACACACACACACACACACACACACACAAAAGCATTTGTTAGCTTAGCTTTAAAAATGGTGTGCGTGCAGGCTGTTTTAATTACATGCAAAAGAAATCCAGGCGTTGTAGCACTGTAAAGACTATATATATATATGAGAATGAGCTGGTTTGGGTAACTAAACCTCTGCTTGTTTGTGTCAGTATGTGTGCTCTACAGCCCCAGTGGGCAAGATTCCCATTCAGCTTAATTAAATGTTGATGTGAGCTACCGTAGTTTTTCAAGACTGTCTTTCACTGTATTGGTTTAAGGGTGGCCAGGAGAGGTATGTGTGTTTCTGTGTTAATCAGACTTTTAACATATCAAAATGCATGTGAGATATCAAGGGTGGAAGAGATCACCCTTGAATGATCCAGTCAAAACACTTTTATATGTGGGAAATTTATTGGGAGAATGACAGTAAACTTTTCACACTCACCAAGATCTTGACTAGAGTGCCAAGGCATATTGAAAAAAGATCCCTGTGTTTTTAGAAGAGCAGCTGTATGTGTAATAAACATAATTTGATTTTTGAGCTCTCAGAAGTGCTAGCAGGTATTTTCCCCCGCAGTTGGCATGCTAATTCTCCTTAACTTACCATCTTAGCACAGTGTAATAGACTCCTGCTTACTGTTGATGGTTCGGGTTGCTTGATTTTTGTAGCTGCTGCACGAAAATGAAATCCTGCCAGAATGTACAGTTAACTTGGTTTGACAGCTAAGGTTGTAATGTTCTGAGACTCAGCAAATGAGCTCTGTCTTGAAGCTTCGGCACTTCAAACCCTTTCTACAAATCCTGTTCCCTTTCTGCAGTAAATAGGTCAAGACCTTGTTAAGCAACAACCTGCCCAACTAAAGTATACAAGCTTTTAAGCTTACACAGATATATTCAGTGGAAGGGCACTGGAACACCCCGGATGCTTCTGCAGAGGTCGTTCCACACCACTAGCTGACTCGACAGGATTCTCCTCTGTGTGTGTGTGTGTTGTATAGCTAAGTAAGCCAGAAGTTGCTAAAAACTGTTGTGTGTTGTAGTTTTAGGTTCCATCTGAAAACTGTTTTTCCCATTATGTGTTTTGGAAGAGTTCTGTGTAACATGAAACTTCCAAAATATTTTGCCAGGGCAATGTTACAGATGTCAGTTTTATGCTTTAAATGGAGCTGGCCGAAGGACTCTCCTACACAACTACTGTCGCTTTTAGTCCCAGAAAACAACCATTGCAGGAAACGCTGCCTCTTTAAATATTTAAGTGCAAAAGATGCTCAGTGCACTCGCATGCTGTCTGAAGGTCGGAACTCTGAAGACTAGTCTGGAGTAAATTAAATCGGACCGTTGAGTAGCAGTTTGAAAGGAGTCCATGTCTTTACGCAGACCTCTGCCACGTGCATTGTGTGGCTCCTCTTGGAATTTCTTTGTTGCAAAAAATGTCCCCGAAACCTGCTGAAGCCTGTGGCCAGCCTGTGCTGTGACATCTAGATCCAGTTTATCTGATGGCCGTCTCTGCTTGCCTTTGCAGGTCTCCAATGAGGAAACATGGCACTGTTTTCCCTGCACTCTCTCCACCTACTGCTGGACTTCTGTTTATACCAAGTTGGCAGACACTGGCTGGAACTGGGCTGCAATAAAACTCGCCAGTCATTCATGCTGACAAAGCGCCTAACAAGTGCCAACAAGGATTTGCGCATTTTGAAAACTAATGGAACTGCTTTAACCTTCAGGAAGAATTGTAAAGATGTGTACATAGCACAACATGATCCGGATAATATATATACTGTTCATGTACATCCACAGATACACATTGTACCAAATAATGCTGTCTTGTAGTTAGAATAAGAATCGTGTAAATTCTAAAAGATTTTTAGCAGGTTCTCCTTCTTCTCTCCCCCAGCCCTCCCCAATTCATGTTTTTCTTACAAGTCTTTAAAAACTTCTCGTGAAGCATGTCAGACTAAAACAAATTAGGATTTAAAAATAAATTCCGTTTTAACGCCTTTTCTTTTCTGCCATTGAAGCTTCATTTAAATCTTTAACTTTAATAAAGTTCAATACCTTTGTAACTCTTCCCCTTAACTTTTTTTGTTCCAGATAACATTAATTAAAAAAACAACAACACTGAGAATCTGTTCCTTGATTCGAATGAATGACTTGAGCACCATCACCAGGAGGTGCGCTTCTTTCCCTGTGTTGTGACCCAGCTGTGTTCATCTTCTGGCTTCAATGCAGCAATAAGATTTACAGCTGTGGAGCACCTTTAAGCCTGATCTTTCTGCTCCCCCTTTCCCTAAGGGCTGCGAGCATTTTGCTTTGGAAGTGGTCAGCTAAGTAAGTTAGCCCAGTATAGGTTGAACTGCTTTTTTTTTTTTAATTTCTTGCCTGGTTTGAAGTTGGATAAATAAAGGCATGCAAGAACTGTAGTCTTTTCAAGTGAGTTCTGGTTTTGCTATCAAATGCTATTCTACTCCTTTTCACTCTTCCTTCCTACTTCTCCCCTCCCCCTGCCTCACCCTTTCATATTTCTTTGCCTTCTGATCTGCAAATTTTCCTCACTTAAATGTACAAAGAGAAATTGCGATGTATATTTTCATGTAATTTGATTTTGGAATTCTGTCACCTTCTGTAGTGAGTTCTTCCAAAATATAAATTTTTCCAATAGTTTTGTGTCAAGCTGGCTCTTTAAAAATACATTCTTGGGTTGTTTTTAAGTACTGTATTGCAAAGAGCTCCGTGCTGGTGGCCACATTTAGACAGGCTGCAAATACTTGTTTAAAAGACTTCATCAACTAACTGTTCTAGATGATGAAGGTGGCATGTCCAGTGACCTCTTCGTGAATTCACGAACCTTTATTTACAGCATGAAAAGCAGTCTGCACTTCACAGTAGAAAACATCCATCTTGGAGTAAGATAATACAAGAGGAAGGAAAAAAAGCCACTGAATGTTACTGTAGTGGCTGAAATGATGGTCCCTCTGGAAGTTAACTATCAAACAAGCTAAGTCTAATCTTCAGTTGTGCTACATACCATGTTTCCCCCCAAAAAAAGACAATTTTATATTAATTTTTGCTCCGAAAAATGCATCAGGGCTTATTTTTAGGCGACGTTCTATTTTGTTCATGTACAACAATCTACATTTATTCAAATACAGTCATGTCATCTTCTGGTTGCTGCACAAGAGTGGGAGGCAGGGTTTCACTTAACGGGCTTATTTTGGAGGTAGGGCTTTTATTACGAGCATCCTGAAAAATCATACTAGAGCTTATTTTCAGGGAAACAGGATATATCTGAAAAGTGTTTTTAAAAAGAGAGAGGCAGAGGACAACAATTTGTAAAGATAAAACTCCTTGTAAAAATTGCCTCAATCTCTGGTCCATAAGCCAGAGATGCCAAATCGCTCTCTGTTACAAGCATTTTGTCTTGCAGACATGGTATATATAGTAGGATGTCTTTGTATGCCTTTCCTTGTTAAGAGTGTGTACATAACATGCATCTGATAACCAGTGTTTCAGAGCAGCAGCTGGAGGCCAATTGCTTGCTGTAAATTTAGACCCCCAAAGGGATACCAGCATCGTCCCTCTGGTATAGCATCAGGGCAGGTAGCACTTAGGATGAGTTACCCGACAAGGATAAGAAAAAAGGGCTCACGTCCATAGTGGTGCTGCATCAGAGGTTTGTTTTTGTAAGAGCCCTCGGTTTGTTCGTTCATTTATTTCATTTCTAGGCTGCCTTTCTCCCAATTGAGGAACCCAGGTTGGCTTCCAAAGAAGGTCTTAAAACCAGAATCGCTGAAATTCTGTCGGTGATTTACATCGGCAAAAGTGCAGTGGTGTAAACGGCAGCAGCGGTAACCACTTAGGAACGAGTCATGGTTTGTCTTCTTGTTTGGTTGCCAAGTCCCGTGACCGGTGTGCAACGAGGAACGCAAGCAGCGACTCGTTAACTCGCACCAGTGTGATTTGGACATCATGGTGCTTACATCAGCATAAATAACCAGTGGCAAAGAAATGATAATACTAGCTGCATTTAATAATGGCGAGTCGTGGTTTCTCTTCTTGTTTGGTTGCCAAGTCCCATGACGGTGTGCAATGAGGAACGCAAACAGTGACTCGCTAACACACACCAATTTGCCAGTGTGATTTGGACACCATGGTGCTTATATCAGCATAAATAACCAGTGGCAAATAAATGATAATACTAGCTGCATTTAATAATGTCAAACTAAGTAAAAAAAAAACAACAACATGAAGCACTGTAGTTACCCTTCAAGTCATTACAACACCTTTCTCAACAGCAGATTTAGTTGCCCAAATCCTGCCTGTCAAGAAAAAGTTTGGCCTTCAGGCAGCAGGAGGAAAGTCAGTTTAGCCTCCTTTTAAATCAAATCTGACCGTCTGGGAGCAGCCCCACAGAGGGCTCGCTCTTATGTGTTCACCCTATTTCCTTGGGCAGCCAACAAGATAAAGGCTTCCCCTGAACATATTAAAACTCGGGGAGGCCCGTAAGGGAAGGTGATAACAGATATTCAAAGGAGTGGCTTTACCAGTTCCACACCCCTCGTGAATTTCCATGGCAGAGCAGTAATTTGAACTCCTGAGTCCTAGCTTGTCACTCTGTCTACTATACCAGATTGAGTATAGGCTGGATTCTGACTGTGTTCGGCTTTATACATTTTATTTATTTATTGTTATTTATTTCATTTATATGCTTCCTCATGAGTGCAGCGCTTTACTCTTTGTGGTTTGCACTAGAATAAAAGCACAAAAGCATCAATCAAACAAATGGGCAGCCCCCCAACAGCAAACTCCCAAAAGACGTGAAGCAGAAACTAAAATGCAGCAGGAGGCAGATAACAGACAGGCAATGGGTGCTTTCCGTTTGGCCTGCGAACGGGCCTTGCAGTCAGCAGCACTGTTGTAGTGTGAGTGTTTTGTGCCTTATAAAGAACCCTGCACCACAATTCAGCTGCAGTGGTTGGGCCCGGCTGAAGTTCCCGGACGCTCCTCAAAGGCAGCCCCAGACAAAGCGCTTAGCAGTAATCTAAGCAGAATGCCAGTCATTATGTCACATGTAATCAGGGCAGGCACAGCTGGCACCCTTGCCTGATGAGACATGTCACTCACCCTGGTTTTAAAGTCGGGTTGCCAGCCTCTAATAAAACATCAAGGAAGGATCCATCTGGAAAAAGGAAATATTTATGTGCTAAACGTGACTTTGGTGAATGAGCCTTCTGTGGCTTTTCCCTCTGCCATGATGTTTAATTGCACAGGGCCCGAATGGATGATTCCAAACTACAGTAGTTCTCGAAAACCGGGTGCCTGCAAAGCAACCTCTCAACTCAAAAAAACACTTTTTAAACCCGCAGTCGTCCAGACTCGCTTGCTTCAGGGTCTAGAGTTTCGAACAAAGGCAAGCCTGGGGGAAGGCATACGTTAGGGGGGAAACGGTGAACCAATTAGAAGTGCTAGAGGAACCCTGATTGGTACAAGCCAATTAGAAGCGGCAGCAATTAAAAATGTGAAATGGAGGTGGCAGAGTCTTGCCTCCATTCTTTTTTTTAAAAAAAAGGTCTCTGTTTTGTTTAATTTTTTTTAGTCCGGTTGGTCTGGATACATGTGGCAGATGAAGTTATTCTTAAGCTGCCATGAATTAGAAAGGGATCCTTAATTACGAGCACTCTCTTTCGAGCCAGACAGAGCTATTTTGCTGCCGCTGAGCTGTTAGGACCTAGACACAATAGCTGGGTTTAGACAATTGCTCAAACAAGAACCAAATTTGCCTGGCTCCTGCTGAGGCGGGTGGGGGGGGGAGGCGAGGCAGTGGCTTGCTAGCCAGCTGGCTAACATTTGTGCTTTTCTGCCTGCGTAAGGCATATTGGGAGGGAGTGTGTGTGGGGGGGGTGTCTTACGGATTGCCTTGCATCCCGGCTGTCTATTCCATAATTAAAATATGAAGGGAAAATACCCCGGTGTTTCTAGGACAGCTATTGTGATCCAAAAGGCAGCCAGCTGGATGTGGAATTAATAAGGTCTCCCAACTTGTCAGGACACAAAGCATTCATTGATTTGCCCCTTGGACATAAATGGCAGCAGGATGATGACTGTTTGAGAGGGACAGTTTCCCCATCCTTGGAGAATTCCTAAGTTGGGCAGAGGACCTAAAAGGAGCCTTTTCCATTGAAAGGAGAATGAGGGAGCAAGTGGCTTGAAGGATCTACGACCTTTCAAAAGGATCCAGGAGGGATGGGAGAGCTTTACAAGGAGGTGCTCCTTCTATTCACTTACGTTCTATTCTTGCCTTGCTTCTCTTTAGTCAAAGGACATGACTTTTTTTACATCAATAATCTGTCGTGACTTTCAGGTACAGTAGATTAAAATCACAATTTGCCCATAATAAAGTACGCTGCTTAGATACTGCCCCATAGCGCTTAAAGCACTCTCTGGGCAGTTTACAATTTAATTATGCAGGCTACACATTGCTTCCCTGCCCCCTGCAAATGGAGGACTCAATTTACTAACCTCGGAAGGCTGAGTGAACCTCAAGCCTGGGATTGAACCTGAATCGTGAGCAGCAATTTAGCTGCAGTACTGCAGTTGAGTCATTGCGACACGTTAATAATAATTTTGTTCAAATAAAGTTTAGTCCTTGCTCTTGCCAGCATGAGACATGGTTTTGAGGTCCAAATGTGTCTACTTAGTAGCTCTTGCGGCTGAGTTAATTGTGAGTCTTTGATGCCACTTAAAGGACCGTTCTGAGAAAATCCCTGATACTAAGCAGTTATTGATGTGGTCACTGATTTAATGGTTTTGACATTTTCTCTCCAAAGGAAAGTGAACAAACATGAATGGGACTCTCCTATTCCATCCTTCAATTAATATTGTTTAGAGTGCAATTTGGGAGACATTTAGTAAATCAATTAGGAGTCCTGTGGCCTTTTTAAAAAACAAACACATTTCATTTGACAGAAGCTTCCGTGGTCTTTAGGAGCTGGGTGGACAGTTCAGTGGTTTAGGCATCTAGCCGCAGAACCAGAAGCGTGGAATTTGTTTCTCCGCTGCGTCTCTTGCAAAGAAAGCCATCTTGTGTGGTCTTTGGCAAGCTGCACAGTCCCAGAATGCCTGCAGGGAATGGGAATGCTGAACCACTTCTGAGCTGGCTGGATAGCTCAGTGGTTCAGTATTATGGCTGCAGAGCCAGAGGTTGGCAGTTCGATTCCCCACTGTGCCATCTGGGAGTAGAGCCAGCCTGTGTAGCCTTGGGCAAGTTGCACTGTCCCAGAATGTCTGCAGGGAATGGGAATGGTGAACCACTTCTGAGCTGGCTGGATAGCTCAGTGGTTCAGTATTATGGCTGCAGAGCCAGAGGTTGGCAGTTCGATTCCCCACTGTGCCCTCTGGGAGTAGAGCCAGCCTGTGTAGCCTTGGGCAAGCTGCACAGTCCCAGAATGCCTGCAGGGAATGGGAATGCTGAACCACTTCTGAGTTGGCTGGATAGCTCAGTGGTTCAGCTTTATGGCTACAGAGCCAGAGGTTGGGAGTTCGATTCCCCACTGTGCCGTCTGGGAGTAGAGCCAGCCTGCGTAGCCTTGGGCAAGCTGCACAGTCCCAGCCCCAGAAGAAAGGAATGGTCAACCACTTCTGCGTACTCTCTGCCTGGAAAACCCTGAAAAGGGGCACCAAAATTGACTTGACCGCACGCTATTATTATTATCTAGCACGGTCTTTAGCCCATTTCATCGAATTTTCGAATGTCTTTTAAACTAGGCTGTGGTCCAAATCAAGAGAGACATTACTGATAGCAGGATCTGGCAGAGAACTCTTAACGGAAGGCTTCCTTCTGGGACTGAAGATCAGTACAGGCAAGTCTGTTGGGGACCATGAAGTCGACAGACCCACTGCGGGGTTGACAGACCCCAGAAGGTCTGTGTCATCGGATATTTCATGGTCAATTTCAGGAAACTCCAAGCCAAGAAAAACATCGCCCATGCAGATATAGGATGTCTGAAATTTTTGTCACATACTCTTTTATACTGTACAGTTTTTTTAAAAATTAGAAGTGATCTGAATCATCATCTCCTGCTGCATAATTTTCAAGGTTGCTGGTCATGTACTGCCTGTCGGACCAGAACTCATATATATAATGGCTCAATTTGCTAATCTCTTCCTGATTGCAGTATGTAGAAGGGGAGTACAGTATTATTTGCAGATGCCTGAACACTGTTTGTGTTTCTTTGGTTTTTGTTTGTATTGATTGGCTTTGCATATGATAGCAATAAACCCGTACTTACTTACACTAAGACTTTTTTTAATTGATTTCTTTTTTTAAATAGCCTCTCTTTTGTCCATAACCTTGCACTCCAGGTAGCTTGCAATAGTTTCAAAAAAAAATGTGGAAGTACAGGGTTTTTTTAAAAGATATGTTATAAAGTTTGACCAGAATCCTATCGGTATTCGCCTAAAGTTGGTGTAATCTGCTGTGGCCAATTGCAGCTCATTGACAAAAGTGCATGCACAGTTGAGAATGTGATAAGGATTCTGGCATCTCTTGTGTTAGCTGCTGCAAGCTACCCAACTCTTAGGCATTCTTCTGGCTATTAAAGCACAAGGGGATCAGTTAAAATAACTACAGATTATCAAACTGTGCAGCACTCTTTAAAAGGCAATCATTGAGCTGCCAGAAGCCTGGCGGTTTTGTTTGCTGTTGAAATGACCTCGGGCTTAGACCTCACTTAGGTCTTGTTAACTTCAGTGGTTTTTACTTTCAGCATGAGGAGTGCTGGAACAAGCACATTATCTTGCATCATAGTAGTAATCATGGGTCATTAAGTCAGTTCTAACTAATGGCACCCTTTTTTGGGGTTTTTCCCAGGTAGAGACTACTCAGAACTGCTTGACCATTTCCTTCTTCTGGGCACAATCCTGGGACTGTGCAGTTTGCCCAAGGCCATCCAGGCTGGCTTTAATAACTAGAGGCACAGTGGGGAATCAAACTCCCAACCTATGCTACTTAGCTGTCCAGCCAGCTATTGAAAATTTCTTCTTTGGTGTTACGGTCAATTTTAATCTTATTTTTATTCGTATTTTTTTTCCAGCCCTAGGGACCTGACAGACAAGAGGGTGATGTTCACAAATGAAATGAATGAAATAAATAAATAAGGCTGCAAATCTAAAGCACAATGATGTCTCTCTCCTAATTAATATACACATTGTCACGTGACTCTTGAAGATTCTTATTATGAATAGGATCAGGAAAAATCTGAAGAAACAAAACTGCCCCGATATTTTTCAAGGAGAAAGACAGGGCAAAACTATTTAAAGCCAAAGCCAGCCCCTTAAAAACTAACTTGCCGTATTTTAATGTCAGAAGTAAAACATACTAAGTAATTAGTTTTTTGCCTGATATGCTGGCACAGACAAACATGCCTACCTCTTGTAAAATTGTTACTAATAAGGCTCTTGTTCATATGAATGGTCCTGATTTTTCAGTTCTAATCTTAGAATTTTTCTGGGGTGTCATTATTATCTGAACCCCGTATGTATGGGGTGGGTTGTGGTCGAAGAAAGCTTCTCTGTGCATGCTCAAGGGACACTGTTCACATTTTCCTGGCTGTGCTCTCTAGTGCTAAAAAGCCTTCTCCAAGGCTCGGCAGTGAATAGTGAGTCCTTTGAGTTTAAATGGGATTCGCAGTTTCTGACTGAATTAGACTTTTTTTTTTCTAGCTGGACTAAACTCTGGTGGCTCTACCTGGAAAATGAGTTCATTAAGCCAGAAAAGGCAAAGGAGGATCTGATAGATCAATGATATTTAAATCTAGGAGATACTTGACATATTCACAAAGGCACACTTTTCTTACACTGATTGTTGCTTCCTGACTTCATAAAGGATGCCTGGCCTGCTTCCAGAAGCACTTTTATCCTCTGGTCTTTGGAGGATGGAAAGGATGAAGGTAGCCCACTTTTAAGAAAATTGAAAAGGACACTTAGCTTGTGTTTAAAGGCAGCCAGATCTGAATGATAAATATATATATATATATATATATTTTGTTTGGTGGAGAGGGGCAGGTCTTGGCAGATGTTCAGAGAAGCACTTTGCTCTTGGGTTCTTCAACAGAAAACCTAGACCCGTACTTAGAGAGACACTTTATACGTCAAAAAGGAAGAATTTTATTTATTTAAAATATTTTTACCCTGCCTTTCTCCTTGAAAAGGACCCTAGGCGGCTTACAACAACTGAAAGGCAGTATTTGAAGTTGGAAACCATGAGCAGACAATGGTGGTTAACCCCGATGAAAGACGATGAAAAGCTTTATTGAGCCACGTTTACATTTATATCCCATCTTTTCTTCAGCCAGCTCACGGCAATGCACCTTTTTTAAAAAAAATCTCTCCTGAATCCTCAATAGCGACAACCCTGCCAGGTAGATCAGACTGAGTGGCTGAGAGTAATCCAGTGATTTATTTTTTTTTTAAATGGCGCCCCGAGAAACCTAAAAGCTTTATTCCGCTGAAGAAAAAAATAAATAAATAAAATACTGAACTAGAGATGCATTTTCTAACCCTGACTGGACCCTCAAAAGGTGCCTTTCGACCGGACCATCTTTTCTCCAATAAATAAATAAACAAAGGAATGGATGAATGAATTGGTCAAATAGACAGATTATTTATTTATTTATTTATTTATTTAGCCTGTTAAATCAGCAGATGCAGCAGCACTATAGCAAGCTGGCACAATTCATCTTTACTCCTTCCTCTACCTTTAAAACAGTTCCTAGGTCCTGGCAGCTTACTTATCCAATTATTACCATACAGCAATGGTTTCCCAACGTTGGGTCCCCAGATATTCTTGGACTAAAACTCCCAGAACACTTCAGCACTCGCTGAGCTGGCCAGGATTTCTGGGAGTTCCAGTCCAAGAACATCTGGGAACTAAGGTTGGGAAACCGGAACCCCTGAGCCGCCGCCGCCGCCGCCGGTCGCCTCGGACTCCTCCTCCGACTCCTCTTGCGCCTGCGCTCTCGGCCCGCTCCCTTTTTCTACCCCCTCGCCTCCCTTCCTCGCCGCCCCGCCCCTGTTTGGCCGGAGATCTCGCGAGATCTGCGCCCGAGGCGGCGGCGGCCCAGGGCCAAGATGGCGGAAGGTAAGGGGGCAGGTCTGGTGGGGTGGCGGCGGCTTCGTGAGGGAAAGGCGGCTTTCTTTCTGGCGGGGGGGGGATTTGCTTTCTGTGGGGAGGAGAAGTTCCTTTTTTTTTTTGGAGGGAGGGGCGGGAAGGCGAGGGAGCCGCCGGCGTCGGGTGCGGGGAGGCGGCTGGGGCGCGCCTCTTTCCTGAGGGAAGCCCCTGTGCTCGGTCTGAGGGGAAAAGATGATGTCTTGGGGGGGTTCGGTGAGCGAGGCGAGGCCGAAAAGGGGGAATGGCTGCTTGAGGTGGGAAAGCAGGGGTGTGGGTTTGTGTCTCTGTGCAGAGAGGGGACAGCAATTTCTTTTTTTTTTTCAGCCCGTTTGCAAATGAGGGGAAGAGAAAGTCCATGTATTTCTTGGCAGGAGAAGTTCTTTGAAATGGAAAAGGGGGAGGGGGTTCCTTCATGGACTACCACAACACCTCTCTCTGTGTGTGTATGTGTGTAGATATGTATACACACACATGCATACACCGTGTGTGTGTCTATCTGTGCATGTGTGTACAGAGAGAGAGAGAGAGCAGAATAGTTTCTGGTGTAAAGTGCAATGTAAATTTGTGTGTGTGTAAATATAGATATGCACGCGCACATACATACACACAGAAAGTTACATTGCCCTTTACACAAGACACTATTGTGCTCTATAGTTATCTCTCTCTACACACACACGCGCGCACATGCACACACACGGTGCACTCTACACCAGACACTTGTGCTCTATGCATTTAACTGTATACTGTATATAGTACTATATCCATAGAGTACAAGAGCGTCTGGTGTAGAGTACAGTGTAAATATGTATTATTTTTATAGTTGCTCTTATTAATGTCGTTTGCCTAGTCTTGTACTATTTATATCAGGGGCGGGCTGAGTGGGATGGTCTGGGTTTTGCGACCAAGAGCCCTTCCCTCAATAATGAAGTGAAAAGCAGCTCCTGGAAATTCTCTAGAAATCACAGTTCACTTCTAAAATGCATTGTGGAGCCTTGCGCTGTTGAACATCTCCGCCTTAAGATGCCCCTTTTCCAAATCAGTGGTTCCCAGTCTTGGATCCCCAGGTGTTCTTGGACTACAACTCTCAGAAATCCTGGCCGCCAGCACAGGCACAGCAAGTGGGGAAGGCTTCTGGGAGTATTGGTCCAAGAACATCTGGGACCCAAGGTTGGGAACCACTCACAACATCCCTTTGATGGCTGTAAGTTAAGGAATGGTGAAGAGTCATAATCATCTAGTTAAGTGTCATGCTGGAGGCTGGCTCTTGACCAGTCCTAGTTCATTGTTCTAGTCATTAGAATGCACGGTCCCAGGAAAACTGATGAGTTAGAGCTTTCCTAACCTGTGTCTTCTAGATTTATTGAAGTATGTACAAGTGGCACTTGTCCCATGTTGGGCTGGGATGATCTGAGTTTGAAATTTGATGCATATGGAGAGCACCAGTTTGGAGAAAGCTAGAGAGCCCAGGTTAAAAAGGGAAAAAACTGTTCATGGATTAGGGAAGTGTGTTTATTAATTGGACAGTAGACATATTAAAGTCACTTTAAAAATTGGCTGTAGAATACCCTCTTAGGAGGCATCTCAGAGGTTTTCAAGCAGGAAAGGAAGCCTATAATGAGATTCTCCTTTTTTGCGCGCATACATTTGTTATGCAAGACTTTCAGCTGTCTGACAGCATATATTTATGGTGATCTAAAGCTGAAGAAAAAAATTGATAGATCTCAGTTTGATATACTGCTAGAGATCTTCCCTGTACCTCTCTCTGTGTTTCTGTCTCTCTGGGGTAAAATATAACAATTTTGAGTTGATATTTGTTGTCCTTAGTTCATAAGAAACTTCCCTTGGTTGTTAAATGTGCATGCACAGCAGCCCTGCTCGTTGTGCTCTTGTGTTGTGATTCATATCCTTCCCAATTACAAGGAAACTTAGAGGGGCTTTGGAACAACCCTCACAAATACGTGAAGCTCTGAGCAAGGGACTTGGCAGAGACCAGCCAGTCAACTTTATAAAAAACAGGAGTTGAAGTCAATACTCCATTTTGGCTTTCATACTGTTTCAGTGTATGGCAGAGTGTTCAGTGTATGGTAGTGTAAGAGCCACGTAGCACAGTGGTTTAAACTGCAGTACTGCAGTGAAGGCTCTGCTCGCAACCTGACTTCAGCTGGTTTGAGGTTGACTTAACCTTCCATGGTCAGTAAACAGAGTACCCAGATTGCTGGCAGGGGGCAATGTGTAGCCTGCGTAATTAAATTGTAAACCACCCAGAGAGTGCTTTAAGCACTATGGGGCGATATATAAGCAGCACACTTTCTTTTAGTTAGCTTCAAAGATAGCTAACCTGCTTTGTATATCACCTGATGATAACTTTGGCTGGTTCTGCTTCTAAAGAATCAGCCAAAGAAGAGGAAACAAATGCAGTGGTGCTTTGCTCAACGAGCGCCCTGGTTAATGACGAAATCTCATGTTTTAAATGGAAAAAAATCACTTTGCAATGATCGGTAAGCTGTTTCGCTTACCGATTTTCGCATAGCGATGTTTTCCCGACAGCTGATCAGCGGTTCCTAAATGGCCACTGGGTAAAAAACATGGCTGCCTGCTGTGTTTTGGGACGGATTCTTTGTATACCGGGCAGCGAAAATGGCCGCCGTATGGAGGATTTTCGCTTAAAGGTAAGTTTTTTGCCCATAGGAACGCATTGAAGGGGTTTCAGTGCATTCCTATGGGCTTTTAAAAATCGCTTAGTGATGTTTTCGGTTAGCGGCAATTTTTGCTGCACCGATTAACATTGCTAAGCGAGGCACCACTGTAGAAGGGATATGACTTTTTCATTTTAAAAGCTGGCATGATATACTGTCAAATATTGGGTTCGAAGCTGTGGAAACCAATTTCTAATCTTACCCTCAGCCATGATTTTCCAGGTGAAACACATGTTGCCCACTCTACCCAATCCATTTCAAAGCACCACAAATTGTATTTTGCATCCTGAAAATCTTAAAACCTTCAGCAAGTCTTTCTTCAGTAAGAATATTTAATCACTGCGTAGAACTACTGCTTGTCCCTGTTGTGGAAGCAGCAGGTTCTGATCAGGGTAGCAGCAGTTCACAAACATTGGTTGAAGTTTACTTTAAAGGCCAAGGTGGGGTAATAAATCAGTTTTCAGTTCTAAAAAGGCTCTTCTGTTGAGGAGAGCTCTTTATTTAAAATGCTTGCTTCCCACTTTGCTGGGATTTACGAAGGCCGCTTCCATTCAGAATAAGTATTCAGGATTGCGCATTATCAGTCCATATGTTGAAATGTATGATGACCTTGCAGCTTTGCCATAACTTCCTCACAGAGTCAGAACTCTTAGTGTTGTCTACGCAGTTGTTTTCTCAGGAAGTTTGGCTGGAGAGTAGGAAGGACACAGAAGTTTGTTACAAAAAGATCTGTTTTTTAGGTTTCTGAAGTATTCCTGGAATGTTTGTGTTTGACTTTCTGTTTGTGAGCAGATGGCGGCAGATAAGCAAAGCAAAATGTGTGTGGATCCACACAACCCCAAAGTAAATAAATGTAATGGTAAACATACACTGTGGCTCTCCAGATGTTCTTGGACTTCAACTCCCAGAAGCCTTCACCACCACCTCTGCTGGCCAGGATTTCTGGGAATTGAAGGCCAAGAACATCTGGAGGGCCACAGTTTGACACCACTGCGTGTAGCCGAACACATTCTTCTGATGCCCATTTGAAGAAATGTTAGTTAAATAGATATTTGGGTTTAATTTAATAATTGATCGGAGACTGAATAATTGTACATTATATAATTATGAACAAAAGCCATGTCTCTTTTGTGGGGGGTTAAGATAACATCTTGGCACATTTTATTTATGTATTTCATTCATTATAATATTTTTATTTATTGATTGATTTGATTTATTTGATTTCTATTCACCCATCTGGTATATTTTACCACTCTGGGCGGCTTACAGCATATCATAAATACATAAAAGAATGCAAAAAGGAGAGTGGTCCGTTTGGACCAGATAGGCGGGGTATAAATCAAATAAATAAATAATAAATAAAAACATTACCATTAAAAAATAACAAATACTGTGCAGAATATAATAAATAATAAATAGCAGAGCAAAAAGAAATCAGATGTTGACAGGAGGGAAGGCC